TTGGAGGGCAGAGCTGGCGTCATAAGCTGCCTGGCTCGCATCCCGGATGGTCTTCAGCTGCTCCATCATGAGTCCCGCCTGGCGTATCGCCTCCTTCGCCGCACCAGCTTGGTCCTCTGGGACGTGGTGAGTCGTGAAGAGGGAGGGCTGCTGAGCACTCGTCAGTGGAGTCGCGAAGGTCACCGTGTGTCGAGTGGTGTTCTCTCCCTCCACAGTCAGAATTTCAGGCGCTGACACATCCTGAGGCACCTTGCTGGCGGACGCTTTTCGACTCCTCCTGTGCTTCAGCGGCTCTTCATCCTCATCATCATCAGGAAGATCGATAACAGTGTTGGGTGGAGCTGCAGAGAAGGGTCAGGATCAGAGATCGCGAGTCAGTCGACTAAGAATGGTATTAAGAACACAGCACCTGGATTCGAAGTTGCGGCATCCTCCATCTCGTGGTCGTCGGCCCGGGCCGAGGTCTCAGAAGTAGCAGCACTGCAACTCCAAAGGAGCAGTCGACTAACCTCAGTGTCGACCAGAGATAAAGTTCGCATAAGAATAAGAAAATATGAGCAACACAATTACCCTGAAATGGTGGGGATGGACACCTTCATCTTCGGCAGGAGCTTGGTCGGCTTCGATGAAGCCGCCCTAGGCTGCTTCGGCGCCTTTTCAGTCGGCGCCGGAGAGGTGGTCCGGGGGCGCTTGGTCGACTGGGTGGCGGTCGCAACCCCCTTACCACGTTCGGTCGAAGGGTCGTGGACAAGCTTCGACCGCCTTTCTGAGCGCGGTGGAACGACCTCCTCTTCCTCTTCTTCCTCGTCCTCGATGTCATCTTCATCACCTTCATCATCATCATCGTCGTCATCATCCCCTGCAGCATCCGAGTCCCATTCCTCCTCTTCCTGGCTCTCGCCCCCGCTCGCCTCGCCCCCGCTCGCCTCGCCCCCGCTCGCCTCGCCTTCCTCAGTCGAAGCTTGTGCCCCATTGGGCATCGAGTATAGCTCGGTGAAGGCCTAGCAGTCGCCCAAACAAGGATCAGTCGACCAGTCGACAGGGTTAGCAGAAATGAATACGACAAGGACAATGGAAAGCAGAGCAAGTGTACCTTGTTTGGGATGCTGTCGTGGTCGAGTGGAGGGATTCTTCTGGCTCCGCGCGGGTTGTCCCTGTTTCCGGTAACGGCTGCCATCCATCTCTCCAGAGTGACATCGTCGACTTCTTCTGGATGGACTCTAGTCTCGTCTTCGGGCCCGCAGTACAACCACATGCAGTGGCTCCTGAACTGGAGAGGCTGGATGCGACGCTTGAGGAAAACCTCCAGGAGGTCCATGCCTGTCACACCGTCCCGAACCAGCTGCACCACGCGCTCCATCAACATCTTCACGTCGGCTTTCTCCTCCGGAATCAGCTTCAGAGGGGAGGGCTTGTTCACTCGGTCCATGGTAAACGGAGGGAGTCCACTCGACTGCCCTGGCGTCGACTGGACCTGGCAGTAGAACCAAGTCGACTGCCAGCCCCTGACGGACTCGGGAAAAGACATGGGCGGGAAGGCGCTATTGTTCCTCACCTGAATTCCCAGGCCCCCACACATTTGGACGACTCGGGTCTTCTCGTCACCTGGGCTCGCCTTCTTCACGGTCTGAGAGCGACACGTGAAGATACGTTTGAACAAACCCCAGTGCGGTCGACAGCCCAAGAAACCCTCACACATGGACACGAATGCAGCAAGGTAGGCAATGGAGTTTGGGGTAAAGTGGTGGAGCTGCGCTCCAAAGAAATTCAAGAAACCCCGGAAGAAAATGCTTGGTGGCAAGGAAAACCCCCGATCGACATGAGTGGCCAGAAGCACACACTCACCCTCTTCTGGCTGTGGCTGCCACTCCTTCCCCGGCAGCCTCGCGGCTCCGTGAGGGATCAAGCCCTCGTTGGCCATGTCGAGGAGGTCCTTCTCCGTGATTGTCGACTGGATCCAGTCGCCTTGGACCCAGCCTTTCGGCAGGCGGGATCTGGACGAGGATCCTCGGCGGCTGGTGGATCTCCCCTTCGCCTTCTCCGATGCCGACGCCTTCTTGGCACGCTCCAGCGCCACCGTCTTCTCCTTGGCCATGGTCTCCGGTGAGATGCACGAAAGGAAGCGGCGCGGAGACGAGAGCGGGCACGCTGAGCAGGGAGGAAGGGAGCAGAGGGAGAGAGGGAGAATGCTGAGGCGCAGCGCAGAAATCTTCGCCGGGCACATTTTTAAGGTCCCTTCCGAGTGGCTGACGGGTGGGCCCGGTCGATCTAATCATATCTGTGAGCAGTTATGAGGACTGGATACGTGGCGAAAAAGGCGGCGCGGAGATCGAGGCGTCTACGCCCCGTCCCATCCGAACGCCGCGGTCTGCCCCGCTTCGCGCGCGCCCCCAAATTTCGCACCCCGCAGAATCCGCGAACAACAAATCAGTCTGTCAGACGCGGTGATTCCGGCGATCCGTCGCTCGGAGATCGACGAAGCTCGAAAGATCACTCGACGCAAAAATAGAATGGATCGAGTCGACCGAAGACGAATTGCTCCCTGTCAACGAAGAGATTCTTTGATCCAGAACAGCGCACAACTAGAGCGCAAAGGTTAATCGGAAACGACATCAACTCCTTCTTCACTCAAAGCCTCAATCCATTCGGGGGCTAATGATGGGGTTATGTACCTAGGGTAGGGTCACGGACCTGTCCCAAGTAACTTACCCTAGGACATCCCTAGAAGAGGTCGCCTTCCAGTCGACCACCGAGGACTCACTCGACCAACGAAGACACACTCGACTGGCCTGAAGGACTCGACCACGAAGACGCACTCGACCACCAGGAGGTCAAGAGGCACTCTGCACCGCAACGGTCTGTAATTAAGTAGACTTTATGATAGTAAAGGCACTTTATGTGGGGCGTTACCAGTAACGCCCCAGACTTAACTCACCTTAAACCTTCTCCTACGTGGGCTGGCTGGGGTCCTGGCGCACTCTATATAAGCCACCCCCCTCCACAGGCAGAAGGGTTCGGCACCTTGTAATCCATACATTCATAATCCACTCGACCGCCTCTGGGCTCCGAGACGTAGGGCTGTTACTTCCTCCGAGAAGGGCCTGAACTCGTACATCCTTTGTGCTTACAACCTCTCCATAGCTAGGACCTTGCCTCTCCATACCTACCCCCCACTCTACTGTCAGGCTTAGAACCACGACAGGCAGACCTAAGTATTTGAAAGGAAAGGAACCTAAGGAGCAGTTGAGGAGCCTGGCCACCCGCAAGGCCTCCGCCCGGTCAACCCCCGTCACCATAACCTCACTCTTGGCGAAATTGATCTTAAGACCAGAAACAGCTTCGAGACACAACAGAATAAATTTCAGATTGGCAATACAGGCATTGTCCAACTCTACCAGGATGATTGTATCATCCGCATATTGTAGATGAGAGACCCCTTCCGGAAGTAGGTGAGAAACCACAGGGATAATATGACCACATCGAGCCGCTTTGGAGAGCATACAGGAGAAGGCGTCAGCCACAAAGTTGAAAAGAACAGGGGAGGCCGGATCCCCTTGGCGGAGGCCCCTCCCATTCGCAAAGAAGTTGCTAATAGCACCATTTACGGCAACTACAGTGTGGCCACCCGAGACCAACTGCATGATACGGTGAACATAAGCACCGTCGAACCCTTTGGCAAGAAGAATCTGCCTAAGAAAAGGCCAGCTAACCGAGTCATACGCTTTTTCGAAGTCTAGCTTGAGGATAATGACTTTGGATTTCCGCACATGAAGGTCATGAACAATCTCATGAAGGGAGAGAATACCATCTAAAATAAAACGCCCTTTGATAAAAGCAAACTGGAAGGGACTAATAACTCTGTGAGCTACCGGAGACAACCGGTTCGCAAAGCCTTTGAAAGGGAACTTGGCAAAGTTGTTAATCAACGCTATAGGCCGGAATTGGGAAATGACATAAGCACCCTTTACCTTAGGGATCAGGGATATAACAGCATAGTTCAGGCGAGAGATGTAGGAGATGCATATGTGTTATTGGTGAGTGTACGCACGTGTATATATGTATATACAATCGCTTGCATCAGTACGGTGTTAAAAAAAACCATGTGCACCAAAGTAGCCTCTCCCCGACGGGCTCCGCCCAATCAAACCCATTGAGCAGGGCAAGCGGTCGAGCCCCATCCCCCATCCACCTCCATAAAACCCTCCTTGCTGTGCTGCTCAGGGCTCAGGGCTCACAACCGCGTCTGCGAGGAGTCGAGGAGGAAGGCACCGCGTCTGCGAGGTACGCTCCGCCCCCCGCCCCTTTACCCCACCCACCCATTTCCTCTCTTCGACGAATTAAGAGTGATTCTGCTGTGATTGTGGCTACTGTGAGCTGGGAGATGAAAATAAAAGGGGGGAAACTTGCAATCGTTCATCAGTGCTGGACATTTTGGGGTTTTCCAATGCAAGCTCCTTCGTTTCTTTATAAGTTTCTTTTACAGATCAAGATTGAGGCGTTCTTTTCAGCCCGCTTCATGTGTGGAGCTCTATCCTGATCTTCTTTTTCAGCCTTCATCGTTCACTAACAATTATTTTGGTTGAGACCTTCGCTGCCTTAGAAGGTCATCTTGATCTTTTGCCTCTGATCTGCACAGATCTAATTTTGTACTGTGAGGTGGGGAGAAGAAAAGTGAAGGGACGAACCTGCCGTCTTCTTTTGGTAGGCTTATTATTATTATTTACTTGCTCATGGGTTGTGGTTTTCTGAAGCAAGTTCTTGGCTACGTGCTATTTTCTTGATTACAATGTTTTACGTTTGTGGACCTCTTGATCTTCATTTCCCGTTTTGGCGGTAGATATTTGGTTGAGATCTGCAGTGCCTTTTGAGATTATCATGTTCATTTGTTTCTCATGTACCACAACTCTGTATGTTCTTAGCGGAGCATATATATGTTGATTTATGACACGGTGATTGATTTCGATTGCAGAGGATTCCTGGAGAGACCAAGTGCAAGAGCTATGGGCAACTCCTGTGTTACTGGCGCCTGCAGTAAGGGTTTCTTTTGAACTATCTTCCTTTTGCTTCTTACTGGGCAACTTGTCATAATAATTCGTTTGAGCATTGTTGTTACTGGGGCTGTAAGGGTTTATTTTGAGCATTTGTTTTGCTGCTTAATTGAATTAGTCTAGATGGTTCATCTTATAGACAGGGTTCAGACTGTTTCACAAAAAATCAGAAAAGAGTTGAACTATTTTACTGAAAGACAAACGAAATGTATTATGCCATGCAAAAGAAGAAAAAAAACAGGTGTTCATAGTTTGTCTTTCAGTAAACGAAATTAGTGCATTTGTTTTGTCAAACGAAATTAGTGCATCTGTAGAGAGTGAGAAGAGTAAATAGTACTTCCTCTGTAAACAAATATAAGAGCGTTTAGATCACTAAAATAGTGATCTAAACGCTCTTATATTTCTTTACGGAGGGAATACTTCACACTAATTGACAAAACTGCATGGATCAAGCATGATGCTGTTATATATTGTGGTCTTTGATGCTGTTACCGATGCAAAAAATCGTTGTTTTGTAGGCCAGGGTTCCAATGGGTCGGGGACAACCTTCAAATGGAGGATCGATGGTTTCTCCGCGCTTCTAGATAAGGATGAAGGATGGACCAACTCCAGTGTGTTTGTGATCAAGGGGCTTAACTGGTACAATTACTAGTATTTTTTTCTGCTATTCCAACAGAGTGGATAGCTTGATGCATCCATGTCAGGAACAAAATTCATTCTTACTTTATCTTGACTTGTTTTGCAGGTACCTGAAGCTGAACCCAAGGGACAGAAAGAGTGGCGACCAGAATGAATATGTTACTCTTAATCTTGTCCTGACTAAAGTATCTGAGAAATCCCATACGGTCGCGGAGACAACTTTCAAGTTCCTGATATATGACCAGTTACATGGGAAGCACCATGAAGAGCATCAAGGTACGTTAGCTCCATGGAGTAGTCCTTTAAGGTTCACAACTAGTTGGTTACTAGATTGATAGTGTAGATTATAACCTGTTTCTCAAGAGGAGTACAATAGTTATGAAACAAAGAGAGGGGGAGAGTTAAAGGCATCATTTCTTTGTTCATTGCCTTACATTTCAATATTTTGTTTGTAGTGAGCCACAGTTTTCAGGCTACAAGCAGATTCTCTGGGACCTCATGCATGATCCCCCTCGCGACGCTTAAGGAGCAGCCCTCTGGATTCCTCGTCAATGACAGCTGTGTTTTCGGTGTCCAGTTCATCAAAGTTGTCGCTGTTAAAGGTAAACATGTTTTGGAGACGCTGTTTGTTCAGAAGACTAGCAACATCAGCAATGGCCCACAAGCCTACACCTGGAACATTGATGATTTCTTTGTGTTGAAGAACCCGAGCACCTCTCCAGAGTTTCAGCTCTGTGGACACAAATGGTAACTTGACCAATAACATTAATTCTTAATTATTCGGTTTATATACAGAATTGTCTTAATTTCATTTGAAGAGGAAGGCCATCATACTTCTTTTAAAGGAAACAAAAAATAAAGACCGTTGGAGTTCGACCTATTCATATCAGTGATGGATTACACCGTGTGATGTTCCCCAATTTTCAGGTTCATCACCATCTATCCATCTGGTTCCGATTCGAATGGGAACTACATCTCCCTGCATCTGAGCATGAAGGACACACTCCATAAGGATTCGGGGATCCTGGCAGAGGTTAGCATAAGCATCAAAGACCAGGAAACTGGCAAGCACATGAAAACATCAGGTTCGCCCTTTAGCAGAAATTTCACGTTTTTTTTCTTTCAAAAAGGGGGTTTACCCCAGCCTCTGCATCAGAAAGATGCATACGGCTCATATTATTAAAAATAAAATTCAGTAACAAAGTCTCCAAGTATGTTGGTGCAAAAAAAAGTAAAAGCTCGAAAGAGCTGAAATCCTAAGCCACAACCGGCTGGCAAACACAATAGGAGCACTACATGCCTATCCTATTACATGACCGCCATCCAAACCGGTTGAAAATAACCCGCGCTACCATCTCCCATCGGGTAGACGCAGTAACCAAACGCTCCCTGGCTCCGTCGAAGTGAGTAGCGACCACATACGGATGAATGCCGTGGCCCTGAAGATAACCTGCAAAAAGTGAATGTTTGTTGATCTGTTAAAAACTAAATCATTTCTGCAGTTCCATACTGCCCAAAGTAAAGCACAAACGCCAACACGAATGTGTCTTGCAGTATCGGAATCAACCCCATCAAGGCATGGTCCAAATAACATGTTGATAGAGGTGGGCTGATTAATATTAAACGCAATATGAATCGACCGCCACAGAATCTTAGCCAACGGACAATCAAGGAAGAGGTGTTTGATGTTCTCGTTATTATCGCAAAAGCTACACCTAGATGAGCCCATTCAGTTGCGTTTTGCCAGGTTATCCTTAGTCAAAATGACTTGTTTATGCACAAACCACATAAACACTTTGATGCGTAAGGGAACCTTTACTCTCCAAACATGAATAGTGGAAGGGACAACGCTAGAGTTAATGACATCCAGATACATAGACTTAACCGAGAACGCACCGTTCTTAGTAAGTTTCCAATGCAGCTGATCTGGTTGCTGGGTCAGCCGAACCTCCATTAAACGTCTAACAAGGTGGAGCCAAGCCTCCCAACGATTTCCGACTAGCGTCCTCCGAAAACTAATATTGAGGGGAGTGGATTGTAGAACAGATGCAACGTAAGCTTCTCTTCGTCGCACAATGTTGTACAAAGTAGGATATTGAAGTGCAAGGGGAGTCTCCCCAAGCCACGTATCCTCCCAAAATCTCGTAGTGGCTCCATTCCCGACAATAAATTTTGACTTGTTGAAAAAAAGCTGTTTGACTCTCATCAAACCCTTCCAAAAAGGTGAGTCGGAAGGCCTCACATTTACCTGGGCCAAGGTTTTAGCATAAAGATACTTATTACGCAAAATCTGAGCCCAAGTAGCTTCCGTCTCGGACGAAAGTTTAAAAAGCCATTTGCTAAGGAGACATATGATTTTAACTTCCAAATTTTCAATGCCTAGACCCCCTTGGTCCTTCGGCCTACATATTATATCCCACTTAGCAAGCCTGTACTTTCGTTTGAGGTCGTCAATCTGCCAAAAGAACCGAGATCGGTAGAAATCTAACCTTTTCCTGACTCCCACCGGAACCTGGAAAAAGGATAAGAGAAACATAGGCATACTGGTAAGGACCGAATTAATCAGAATCAATCGTCCTCCGTATGACATGAGCTTTCCTTTCCAACAGCTCAGTTTCTTTTCAAAGCGATCCTCGATGCATTTCCACTCACTGTTAGTCAGCTTACGATGATGAATGGGTATACCTAAGTACGTAAACGGTAAGGAACCCAATTCACATCCGAACAATTGTTTATACGTGTCCTGGTCCTCCTTTGCTCTTCCAAAGCAAAACAATTCGCTCTTGTGAAAGTTAATTTTGAGGCCAGAAAGTTGTTCAAATAAGCATAACAGCAGTTTCATGTTTCTTGCTTTCGCCAAGTCGTGCTCCATAAAGATGATTGTATCATCAGCATCCTGAAGAATGGAAATCCCTCCGTCAACTAGATGTGGGACCAGGCCACCTACCTGCCCTGCATCCTTTGCCCGACCTATTAAGATAGTGAGCATATCAGCCACTATATTAAACAGGATCGGTGACATCGGGTCTCCTTGCCTTAGCCCCTTGTGTGTTTGGAAATAGTGACCTATGTCGTCATTCACTTTAATCCCTACACTCCCTTTTTGCGTAAAGGAATCAATCTGGTTTCTCCAGGCCGGATCAAAACCTTTCATACGCAAAGCTTGTTGAAGGAAAGGCCATTTAACTTTATCATATGCTTTTTCAAAATCCACTTTAAAAACTACGCCATCAAGTTTTTTTGAGTGGATTTCATGGAGCATTTCATGCAAGACAACAACCCCTTCAAGGATGTTTCGATCAGGCATGAAAGCAGTCTGGGACGGATGAACCACAGAGTGCGCAATCTGCGTAAGTCTGTTCGTCCCGACCTTGGTGAAGATCTTGAAACTCACATTAAGCAGACATATAGGTCTGAACTGCTCAATGCGAACCGCTTCTGTCTTCTTAGGAAGAAGAGTTATCGTTCCAAAATTCAGCTTAAACAACTGAAGCTGTCCCTCAAAAAACTCCTGGAACATGGGCATCAAATCACCCTTAATAAAATGCCAGCACTTTTTGTAGAACTCCGCCGGAAACCCATCCGGTCCTGGAGCCTTATTATTCTCCATCTGTGCAATGGCATCAAACGCCTCTTTCTCAGAGAAAGGAGCAATCAGGAGCCCATTCTCGGCAGTCTCAAGTTGAGGAACATCCTCAACCCTAGACTCATCTAAGGACACAAAATTCTCTTCCGGGGGACCAAACAACTGTTTATAATAATTGGTAATATAGACTTTCAGATTGTCTTGACCAACTATCGTCCCTTCATCTTGTTCTAACTGAAAAATTCTCTTTTTACGATGCTTCCCATTAGCGATCATATGAAAGAATTGAGTATTGTCCTCTCCTTGTACTATCTTGCGAACCTTAGCTCGCAACACCCACTTCAATTCCTCCTCGCGAAGAAGCTGTTTAAGTCGCATCTCCGCCTCTATCTTTGTTTACAACTCACTGGAATCCAAGATAGAAGTTTCAGCTTTAACTTCAAGGTTTTGAATAAGTAGAAGAAGTCTCTCCTTCTCCGCCTTATAAATACCATGCATGTGCTTAGCCCATCCTTGAAGGAACCTTCGGAGATGACGAATCTTACATTGCCATCGCTCGATAGGCGTCCTTCCTCCTGAGTCATTAGCCCACTCCCGAGCTAACAACTCAAGGAAACCTTCTCTTTCAAACCAGGCAAGTTCAAACGAGAAAATGTTCTTGTTGCCCACAAACGTTTGAACCCCTGAATCAACTAGTAACGGTGTATGGTCAGAGACACCCCTTGTCAATGCCTGCACGGTTACCAGAGGAAACTTCTGTTCCCACTCGAAACTCGCTAAGACACGGTCAAGTTTCTCAAACGTCGGGACCGGTAACGAATTAGCCCAAGTGAATTGCCTACCCGAAAGCTCCATCTCTCTGAGGTCCAAACTTTCGATAATAGTGTTGAACATGAACGACCATCGGCCATCAAAATTGTCATTCTTCTTCTCCTCCTTCCTACGAATAATGTTGAAATCCCCCCCCCCCCACTAAGAGGGGTAGCTGTTCGTTACCACAAATACGAACCAGATCCGCCAAAAAGTCTGGCTTGAGCTCTGGTTGCGCAGCTCCGTACACCGCCACTAAAGCCCAATCAAACCCATCGGCCTTAGTTCGAACCCGGAACTTGACGGCAAAATCCCCCAAAACTACACTCCGGACTTCCAACGTTTCGCACTTAACCCCAAGTAAAACCCCACCGGATCTTCCTCGAGGTGGGAGGCAATGCCAATCAAAATCTACCCCCCCGGACAACGTGGCAAGAAATTGTGAAGTGAAGTTACTTCTTCCAGTCTCAGACAAAGCAATAAAATCTAAACGATGTTCAAGAGAAGCCCCCGCTAGAAATCTTCTTTTAGCCAAGTCTCTAAGACCTCTGCTATTCCAGAAAATGCCTCTCATAATTCATCATAATTTTTTTTGCAGTGCGGATCCTAGCACTCCTACGTGCAGCTGAGACTGGATAAACCTTCCGTTTCCACGTCCGCTTTGGCTTATGGTGACCATCAACCTGGTCAGCACAGGCATTCTCTGCTTCTATCGCCTCGGGCTCATCTACATAGAGGGACACCTCAGGAATGGTATCCTCCTCCGTCTCGGGTAGTGCAGGGTCAAGATCGGCACACAAGCCATCAAGAACCCTAACCCCCAGCGCCTCTATCTTCGAGTCGTTCATAGGTTTAACAGCAGCAATGTGACGGATCATATCTACCGCACGATCAGCTTCCAAATCAAGAATGTCATTAACCGACCTAGAGACCTCAAACTCATTGTTACCAAGTGAAACTCCTATTTGATTTGCATTATGAATAATTTCAGCATCAGTAAAATGCAAAATGGAATTGGACTGATCAACCGACATACCAGTGGAGGATTCGATGTCGCGCAGCTTGGCAGCTCTCAACGCAGCCCTCAGCTGCATGTCATCAACGTCCGACTGCTCCTGCAGCCTCCCGCTGACCCGCCTCCCCTGGGAGACTGGGTCCGGGATACCGCCAAAGGCGGTGACCTCCTCGCGTGAAGCTCTGCTAGGGGAAAGGCCTCCTGCCCATCCCCCAGTAGCGACACCCCGGGCCTTAGCCACCGGGGCAGGAGAACAACATGGCGACGACACCCGCGTCCTGACCACGGGCGAACCGCCGGCAGCAGGAGCGGGGGAGACCTGCGCACGGCGCTCCGGAGAGGGAGCCGGGGAGATGGGCGCACCACCTGACCCGCCCACCGCATCGGGGCAAAGAGGGCTGGCGGCCACCTGCGAGGCCACCCCTCCTCCCGCGGGAGGCGATGTGGAGAAGATCACCGAGTCCTCGAGGGGCGCCGGCGGTGACTGTATCACGGGAGACCGGGCCTCCTGCCTGTCACCTCTAGCCACGGCCGCAAGCGCTGCACCATCCACCGTAGGCAACATCGAAGTAGGAGATGTGGGAAGGGCCGCCTGCCCCTCGGGACCTCCCACCTCAACCGTAGGCGCACAAAGAGGAGCCATGGGATCCACAGAACCCGGATCAACACCCCGA